CAAGCATAAAGAAGAAAAGAAAGGCTAATCAGCAACTAATAGAAGAAAGAAAGAGGAAAACAAAAGAAAAAGAAGAATGAATAAAAAAAGAAGTTAGGAAGACAATTAACAAGCTTGTCATGAAAGGGGAAAGACCTTTTTATTATGGACTTTAAGTAGTTAGACAAGCAGCTTACTTCTGCTAGAAGTAATGCGGCAGATTGCACTTAGACACCATTAGGGTAGCCAGGTGATGCTAGGCTTAGTTGTTAGGTAAATTTATGTAATTACAGTAGTAGTTTTAAAAATCTTAATAAAGCACTAGCGTAACTGCTTAAAAAAAAAAAATAATAATAAAAAAATAAATAAATAATTATAGAACAAATCTGGGTTCTACACCTCTGCATAACACTTAAATCTCACTTTCAGAATGTGATAAACTTATATATTGCATATTATAAAAAAATAAGTTTTTAATATTAACGTTAATATATATATGTATAAAAACAGTTTTACCTATCTTGCTAATTTCTTGATTTATAACCAGTACTAACACTAACTTAAAATTCAAATTAGGCCAAACATGTGCTAACAAATAGAAAAATCTACAGGCACAATTTTTATGTGACTTATAAGCACGTTAGAGAGTAAATATATTCTGGTTATTGCTGTGCCTATAAGCATGTGAATAAGGTAAATTATATAATGTGAAGATGATGCGATGCAATCAAAGTTCATTGATTTTCTACATCATTAGCTAGGCAACTTTTAACACACTTAGCTGCCAATACAATCCACTCACATGATCATTATACCTTTTTGTTCAATTATGCAAATATGCAATATAAAAAATAGTAATCATATGTATAATTTTATTACATACTTTATTCTGTAGCAAAATTACTAGTATAGTGCATGTGATTTGAGGTTGTGATATTATGTATAGTTATTCTAATCTCAAGTTTATTATATCAATATCTTTTAGAACCTGAAAGATCTTTAAATATATTGTTAATCAACTACCTCAACCTCATCTGACTTTTTCTGTATTGTTATTACTCTTATTCTTGTGAAAAGCTGCATTGTGACCTACTCTATTGCAAACATGATATTTATAAGACCCTCTACTCTTAGATCCATCATAGTTGTCTTGTTCTTTTTCAATACTACTAATATACTTTCGCTTGGGTAGTCATCCTTTAGTAATAATCTTGTTCAGATTTCTCACATCTTTAAGGTTTGTTTCATTTATATATTGGTTTTGTTCAAATTCTTCTGATTGATTGCTAGTCTTATTTGGTTAAATTTCTAATGAATTATTAGATACTTCATCGTTTGTAGGCCTTTCATGCATATCATAATGATTTTGTTACATTTTTGGTCAATATAGGCTTGAAGATAAGAACCAATTTTATTATCTTCTTGTTCAATTGCAAGTAATATGGCCTCTTATGCTAGTTTCTATATATGGCCATACAAATTTCTTTTATAAATAGATTTCTTAACCATTAGAACAGTTGATAGAACTGTAGCAGGTTTTCATGCTGATAAGATTTCTTTATGCATATTTCATAATTAAATATAGCACTTTTTTCTTCCAGAAACAACTCATCTTAGTGACAGTCATTATACTATCTTCAAGGTATCATACTAATGTGAAATGCAGCAACTTTTGAGTGCATCATTATATGAAAATAGTGGTGGCATATGATTCTTTTTGAGATGAACATTAGGCATGAGTATAGGAAGGATACTGTATTGACAATGATAACAAAATGTACAAGATGTCTTTTTTCACTTCATATGTCTATAATTTTCTATACTTCCAATACTTTATCCTATCTCACTTCATTAATAATTGTCTGAAGTGTAATAAGGCATGCATTATTTTTGTCTTTAATAAATCTGTCAAATGTTAGTTGATTATTTTCTTTTGTAATATAAAGTATACTATTAGTTAACTTGAATTTTAATTTAACATTATATGTTATTACCTGTTTACTATATAACTCTTCAATGCTAGGTTCGATCTTGTTTGCACTAACAAATAAGCACTGAGATATTTCTATTTTAATTGCATTGGCAATAGGTTCAGTAAGATACTTGTTAATAACCTTTACTATTTCAGGAAACAAATCTTGCCTGGAAATAAATAGTATTTATTGTATAGTCTGTTTGTAATCATCAAATTGACTCTACTGTACTTCATCTTTTAGCCTTGCATCTAGACAATCTGCAAGCTTACATAGCATACTATTTGCTTTCAACTGTTGCTTGATGACCCAATTGTAACTTTCGACTTTTGCCATGCTTTCAACACTCACTGTAAACATTTTGTAAAGATAAGCCCAAGCCTATAAACAACATCTCAGATCCAACATATATAAAAGATAGTCTTTCATCATTAGGAAATCATTAAGTAGTTTATTTCATCTTTCTTTAAACAATGGTTTATATAAACTATTACAGCATTTATAAAACTGTTTAATAAAGTTATCCCAATTAACACCCAACTTTACTTTTAGATTTTTAGGTAAGTTCTGCACTATATGAAAAATACAGTATGCTGAATGTGTTTTAGGAAAAACAATTAGAATTGTGGTATCAAGTGCAAGATCTGCATTGGTGAACATAACAATTAGGACTTTTTTCATAGCTTTTTTAATATGCTCAAGTATCCAAACATGCATATCAACAGTTTTATTACTCATTAATACTTAACAGACAAGATGAGTTTTACCCTTATTGTTAATTATTATAAAGATTCCAAGTGGTATTTGATATTGATTGATTTAGGATATGTTATCATTAACAACAACATCATAGTATCTCAGCCAAAAATCAACCTGCTCTGGAGACATCCAAAGAAGATGAATTAGACGATTGTCCTTGTTCAGCTCAAAATTAACAACTCAGTGTAAATCCTCTAGCTTTTTTTGCATCAAAAAAGTAAGTAAAACTAATACATCATTACTAATTTTGTTTGTATATTTCACTTTTTAAATTGCATTCACTAAGTCTTGGTCTTGAAAATTTAGGTCTAGAAATCAAGCCTTTAAAAGACTTTTTTTCACTGTTAGTGACAAATTACCATTTCTCGTCATTAAATTTATTTCATCAAGTGCCTCATTAGATAATGTTTTATATTTTATTTCAAAATTTTGGGTTTCAGGAACAAGGGCATGATTGTGTTGATTAATGTATGTTGTAACTGAAATTTGTATAGCCTGTTCTAAATAGATAAGTTGATATGCCATAGGCAATTTATTTTTTTGGTTTTCATATTTCGCTGTGTTCCATTTAAAGTAGCTTTGATTGTTTTTTTAGATTGTACTTCTCACTGAATTCATATATGAAGGTTCTTTTGTGAATTTGACCTAAGCTGTTTTGCTCTATCTGATATTTAGTAACTGTAAATCCATTTCTAGCTCCATATTTGTTTAAATATTCTTCTACTTTATTCCATATATTAAAACAAATGTCTTTAAGAATATTTTCTGAAAAAACTACAAATGAACCTATCAGTTTCAATTCATTAGTTTATGCATATAGGCTTGTATTTATATGCCATCAAAATAAAACCATACCTGAATTCTTGAGTTTGTTGATTATCTATATTTGTTAGCAGAACTTTGTAGTTTGGATTTTGGATTTGGGAATAGGTTGGGCTAAGTTGATTCAATCTTCAACTCTTAAATTAAGCCTTAATACTGATTTTATATTGGGTTGGTTCAGACTTTCTTTCTGAGTTAGGTTTAAAATACAAGTAGGATTATTAATAGGTTGGGTTGAGTTAGTCTAATTTCCAACTTCATTAAATTAAACCTTGATCTGGATTCTACTCAGGTTGAACTTGATTGTACCAGGCTGTACCAAATTTATAACCATATTTTCAGATTCACTTTAATTTAGGTTTGCTCCAACTTGGAGTGCTCTAAAGTATAAATACAAAATCCATAGTCTTGTCAGCAAATATAGTTATATAGCACACATCAGTGATTAGGTTTTTTCAGAGCTGATTGGTAAGTTACAAGGTCTGTTTATTTTGGCAGCGCTCATTTCAGATACTTACTCCCTCCATTGTCTTTGTTATTTTCATTGTGTTCAATATCTTCTGTTTGTATTGTAAGAGTATTATTTAACTTTTTAGGATCATAATTTTCGAATGTAACTAGAGTATTAGTTGGTAAGTTTTAATTGATAATGTAACAAGTTTGTTTAATAAAACTTACGATATTTTTTGACTAATTCACTAATATCACTATCTATAAGGTCAATTACATTTGCTTCAGAAAGTCTCAGATTTTCTTCTATTTAATGTGATATTTGGCTGTTATGGACCATTCTTGATTTTTATGATTATAGTTTTTTTAACAATTTATGTTTTTTGATAAATTTGTGATTATTTTGTTTTATGACACAATTAAAATTCTTGTTTATACCAGAATTTTTTTTTTTTAATAAATAATTTAAGGAATGTGATACTGTTATATCTTGCTTTATTCTATATTTGTAAATTATGCATTTTTTACCAATTGGATTTTATATAAATATGCAATGCTAGATTTAATTGCTTCATACCCTGTGAGATTAACATTTATTCATAATTATATTATAAATATATTTAGCAAAATTTGAAGTTTCTGCATAGTATTACTTAACTAAAAGAAAGACTAGTACAAACTCTAAAACTGTTTTTTATATTTACAAATTGATAAATTAAATTTAAATCTTCAAGAAAACTTATTTTAGTTTGCTAAAAAATGACAAACTTATTCTAAAGCTTAATAAATCAAATAAGATAAAAAATTTACAAATACTTTTTAACTAAATATAAAACAAAAAAAGCATATTTAGCACTAAAAAACATCAAAAATCATAATATTTTACAATAATTAAAAGAAAAATACACTTTGTTATATTAGAGATAAATATATAGAAATTTACAAAAAAAAGATATAAATATTAATGCAGTAAACAAAATTACTAAAAACTTGTCTCAAGTTATTTATATAGCAAATTACTCAAAAAAAATCAATAATACTATTAGAAATTTTTTAAACAATATAAGGGCTCTGTTAGATATTAGCTGAGATCGATTTATTATAGAGATGCCCCCCCTTCCCCCTACCTGAGATATGTTATCACATCAAATATTCACCCAGCCAATCAAATAACACTTTAGGTTACATGAATAAAAATAAACAATATATATAATAAAAATAAATTTATCTGAATTTGATTTGCTAATAATTATCATTCGGGCTTATTTTGTAAACACTTAATCCTTAAACATATAAGTCATGTCTAAATAATTTTTTTTTATTGATCAAAACAAACAAAATTAACAAAAACTTGGAAATAGTACTATAAGTTCCTTATAATAATATAGCTTTCTTTAAAAT